TTTTTTTTTTTTTTTTTGACTTTGTGACATACAAGCATGAACTTAAGTTTCGTCTTAGTCACCATACTATATGTGTCCAAAAAAATCCCCAGAAAGCTCCTTTGCAAAATTCACTGCTGACCATTTACTTGAGGAATGCTGAAGCCTGGCAACAGTTTCATGGAGTTCATTGACTCAGCTCTCGTGAAGGAGCCTGTATTTAATCTCTTACTTCTCATTAACACTAAATTGACTTCCACATTTATTTTTTAATATGAGAAAAAGTTAAATAAACCCTGATCTATACAATTTTTTTTGGATTGTTTTTTCCCATAGTGGTGATTGAACTTTCACAGTAAACTCTGGTTTTTTAAGACAAAATCCAGCTGATACACATTGAATCTTTCACAGTATGTATTTTGCATCCTAAAGGGAAAACTAATAGTGGATTTCTGCAAAGAGGCCTTAAAATCTCATGGGTTTTAACACTTCAAATGGTGCTTGGTAAGACGAGAGATGCTATGCTTATCTAAGTGATGGGTAGTAATTTCCTACCAGGAGCAGCACGTCTTTTAAGACACAGTATAAATCTTTGTTTAGCCTGTTTTTATGATGCAGTTTCCCTGTAACCACTTCTAGAAGAGGGGAAAAGTGCTACAGCTATTCAAAAGGAGCAAAGTTGTAACTAGGATAAAAGATTTTGTACCTCCCATCCTTTTGTAGGATGTATTTTCACACACAGTTTAATTGTTACCAAATATAGTTTTTAATAATACAAGTTTCTGACAGTTTGAATGAATTTCCACACATAGTTTGAGACGCTTCAGCTGTAGAATGTTGAACTGTAACATGTAACAAGGTTTTACATAAAATAATTTAGTGACGGGGACTGAGGAGAGGATGTATTAAGTCCTGTATTTACTTGCATATCATATGCATCTTTCCCTCAAATATCAGCCCTCAAAAATTGGGATGCATGTCTTAAGCAGGGAAGTGGATTTTCTGCATCAGAATTGAAGCCTAGTGGCTGCCATGAAGCAATGGGCTTCTTCCCTAGTCCAGAAAGGAGGGACAGAGTGCATCCTTCAAGGTCACAGTTGTTTTAACCCTATTACAGCTGCTGAGCTGTAGAACTGTAGTTCCGACTGCACTCTTGTTTGGGACCAGCATTCAGCCATGTTCATCCCATGATGTAGCAGTTAAGATTCTGGAAAAAATCTTTCTTTTTCAGACTTTCTTCTCAAAACAAGTTGTCTGTATTATTTGGGGGGATATGGTGTATGAGTAGATATGATACCTTTGACTGGTCTTCATGAAAGTAGGGGTGAGCATTTCTGGTTATGATCACTGCTGGAACCATTTTCTAAAAATATACTCTCCTTTACTCACTCGTTCTGTTCTCTTTTCCTGCAAGCACACATCTCAAAAACAAGCAATCTGATGGCAAACCATTTTCTTAGATATGAAAGCAAATATTAACTTTCTCCTTCCTCCTGATAAACTGCTATACTACCCCCATCCACCCAACTGGAAACAAAGAAATGTCATGCAATACATGTCAGAAGGTGTAATGATTCTCCCAATAAGAAGAGGAGACAGTTTCTGAGAGCATACATATGTAGGTATGTGGTACTGGTTAAACGCATCCTATATAGACAAAAATGTGGCTATACACATTGAAGAAATACTGCACTTCTGTGTAATCTGTAAGATGGATGGTTTTGGTAGTCATGCAGAATTCTCTTCAATGAACACAAATGCAAGGGACTGAATTCTACCCTCCGCTGAATTTATGCATCGTCCATTGGACTTGGTGAGATCTTTGTACGTGCGTCTCGGAGCAGAATGGGTCATATGCATGTTAAAATGCAGCTTCTGGCTACAAACTTGCCCTCACCAACGCAGTGAAAAAGTCTTGCCAGCTGCTGGCCTGAAAACCTAATGGTCTCAAACTGAACAATTTCTGTTCATTGCACAAGAAAGGTAAATATGTGCAAATGCAGGTGTATATGATTTTATTTTAATACGTACATTCAGATTTGGTCAGGACTAGCTGACAGGTAGTAGTACAAGTGCGGTGTTCATTTTATAGCATTGGCATCCTGCCCAAAGTGCTGCATTACAGAGTACAGTGTCCTTGGCCATAGGTATATAACTGGGGATGCGTGTATAACAAACACAACATCAGGTAAAACAAAGAACAGACAAATGAGCAGCAATAGGACAAAGTTTTCATTCGACCCACAAGTCCACTGTATGTCACTCTTGATTAACTTTGGCCATTAAGTGATTCCAGTGGATTAAATTTTTATGCACAGTTCTGAGGGGGTTTTTGTACTTGTTAATGCAAAAGTGTCACTTACCCCTGACCGAGAAGGGGCTGGCTGATTTCTCCACTCCTGATATAGTTTTAAGGTCAAGGAGCACTAACACTACATCTATATTGCTGCAAAAGAATGACTAGAAATGGAATAAATATTGGAAGCGTATGTGGCTAGCTCTGCTACAGGGACCCCCATATATTTTTTCCACAAAAAGAACAAGCAATTACTCTCATCCATAGCATGTAAGTTTGGATTATGGACCGCTCCATTAGCCGGTTGTGTATTACAATAATGGAATACACAGAAAATTCTTATTTGGGACAGTAACAACATTTTCAGCTTAAAACCAACAACTTCTTTGCCTCTGGAGATGGGAAATGTTTTGGAAAATGAAGTTCTAGTTTTTAATGGTAGTTGGCTGGCTGTAAGTAATGTTGAAATAAAAGGCTCCCTTTGTTTTTCACAAAAAGTTGCATCTTTTCACTTGGGAAGAACCAATCAGGCTTCACATTGACATGAGAAAGCAACATGGTCAATTTATATAATATTTGATAAAGCAGGTGGTCTATTGTTGATAAAATATAGCTATATCAGACATGCTTCTGCATCTATCTATCCATTGTTAGTTTTTAAAAAAGAAAAAGAAAAAAATCTATTAGTTGATGCAATGATGGGCTGCTTTGAACCACAGAATTGTGAAAGCATTTTAGCTGCATAAGTGTTAACAAATTGAATGCTATACATTTGTCCATCTCACTCGTATTCATAAATGCAAATGCTGAAGTTACATTTCTGACTCTTGATTTATATTTCTCAGAATCTTTTGTATGTCATTGTAAATATGTTCTTAAGGCCCTGCACCTTATGCAGAAAATGTTTACGTTTAAAAAAAACTTTTTATAAAGGACTCTTGATTTTTTTTTCTCCCTATAATCTACTCTACTTGTTTGAAATGGAAATAATTTCCATTAGTGAAACAAGCTTTCTCTCCTGACTCCCCCAGATGTATAAGCCTAGAGGATAACTGCTTGTGAATGTTGGGCATAACATTTTTTTGCAGTAGGGAATTTGGATGTTTGAGAAGCAAGGTCTAAAGAACTTGATTTTTGGAAACTGGGTATATTTTGTGCAGTCCACAAACTGTTTAAAAAGAGAAGGAAAGAAAATAGGTAGTAGGTTTTGGCACTGCCCTTAAATTTTTTTAGCCCTCTTAGGAACTTGATGAAATTTAAAACAGACTTTTCCACC